TATGAAATTCTTGTGGTTTCTTTTGGCATTGACTTCCAATTTCATTGCTCTATGGTCTGATAATATATATGGGATAAATTCAATTCCTTTGCATTTACTTACTTAGGACAGTTCTCTTATCTGGCAAATTTTACTGCTTGGAGAGTCTTTGATTTAAACTTCCCAAGGTCCTGCTGTTTCCCACCTTCATGTCAGCTATCCCTTTCCTTTGTTTGAAAACCCAATAAACATGAGTGTGGAGAACCACTTAGGTGACTCTCCTTGAAAGAGGAGCAACTGCCTCCATTTTGGCTGAGCCTGACCCTACTTCCATGTATTGCTATGTACTAAGCTGGCTAAGACTTTTCCTTAGCCCTTCAATTGGCTTTAAATAATGCATATTGGTCTAGCAGAGGTGCTGATGGTAATCTTTGGAGATGGCAAGCATGTTTCCCCAACCACCATTACTCCCTTGAGTGAGCTGGCATGAGGTGGGATGTATGAGCCAGTGCTCCACGCTGTCGGCTGGGATTGAGCCCTGGGAATAGAGACTGTGGCTTCCTGGGGCTTCAAAGATTACACATTAGAGCTGAAGCACCAACCCCAAAACATTAGATACTATCTTAATTGTGTTATGCAGATTACTCTTTCTGCATATCCTTCTCTCTGCATTTGCAGAGATGATTTCAGGCCTCCTACCTAGCCCAGTTCATGGCACTCACCTATTTCCCATGGCTCTTACCTTGACTCATCCTCAAGCCACTCCCTTCTTCATGAATAAAACCTGGGTTCAGCCTTGAGTCAAAGCCTTTGTTGCAGATGGCCATCATTATGGCTAGACTTAGGACCCCCTGGCTCCCCATAACTAGAAACACACCTTAGTGTCTTTATTCTCACCATGGGTTGCACTGGAAGTGGTAGATTGGAATTAACTCACTAGAATTCCAATAACTTTTCATGGGGTTACAAATGTAAACTTCCAGGGCCGTGACGAGGACCAAGAAGGGCTCTCTATACGTAGGTACTCCAGAAAAGTCTTGGCCTTAACTCCCAAAGAGTTTTAACCTTCCTGGATACCTCAAAAACATGACATTGTCTCTTTTATTTAAGCCTTCACTATAACTCATGTTAGGAGCCTGGAGGCTCAGGCCAAGTTCCTGATAATTGTCATCTCTTCCTCTATCATTCCTTTACGGTATCATTCCTCTACCGTTCCTTTACAACAATATGTAGTGACCTTCTTTCTCTCTTAATCAGTCTTCACCTGAAATCCAATTTATCTGCAAATAGAATAGCTACCCCTGCATTTTTCCTGGTTCTTGTCACATGGAAGTCCCTTCACTTTCAGCCTATGAATTTTTTTTTCATTAAATGCATTTCTTCAATGAAGCATATTGTTGCATCTTGCTTCATGATCCATTCTGCCAGTCTGATTCTTTTGACTGGTGATTTGAAACCATTAATATTGATGGTTATAACTGATATGTATTGGCTTATCCTTATCACCTTATTTTTCTGTTCTTGGGTTTTTTTTCCCCTAATTGCTTGCCTTGCCTAGTAGATTCTGTCTGTTGAGATTCATGGAGTTGTAGTTTTTGTTATCTCTTTCTAGAATAGCCTTCAGAACACTTTCACGTGCTAGTTTGGTAGTGATGTTGTTGCTACAGAACTATCTTATTTCTCTGTCAATTTGGAAAGATAGTTTTCCAGGGTGCATCAGTGTCAGCTGGAGGTTGTTTTTGTTGAGACACACTCTATGTATTCAGGCTAGCCCTGAACTCATACACCCTGAGCTATGTAGCCTACGCTGGTCTCAAACTCACAATGATAGAGGTTGTTTTCTTTTAAGGCTTGAAATACTTCAGTCCAAGCTCTCCTTGACAATTTGTGTTGAGTCTACTGTGATTCTGATGGTCTTCCTGATTTGTTTCCTCTAACAGCTTTTAATATTCTATTATGCTCGGCATGGGAGCACACAC